AAATAATACATAGCAGAGAGGAAATTGCACAGACTCCCCTGAAAAATGTGGTTGTGTTGAAGAGGAAAGATGAGAATAAAAATAGTACGTTTATACGTTGTTTGGGAACAATTCAGCAGACAGATGAAATAATGTAAGATAAAATCATATTCTATTGAGGTAACAGTTTTTATAGTTTTTGCCTGAATGTTATTTTCTTGTTTTCAGAATGTTAAGTCCACTATCTTTTTTATTTTACTGTCTTCTATATCTTACTTTATGTACTATCTCACGTATATTGCATATTTAGGCTACTTTATGTTCAGACGCTTCCACAGCTTTTTCACCTTGAGTAAATAATCAATATGGTTTTAGCATTGAGGTGTATTTCCAAAACAATCGCCCAACTCCACGGTGTTAAAATTCCATGTATTTTTCTATGCACTTGTGAATATGCTACAGCATGTTATTGAAAATGTAGAGGTTTATCTGCTTCACTAGGTGTTTACATGTGAATTGTGTATTTGTAGGAGTTACTTTCTATTTATGGCTGTCGAGAAATGCAGAATGATGGCCCAGGTTACCAGCTGTGGAGAAGGTTTCCTGAACATGTACGAGAAATACTGGAACCTCATCTAAACACTAGGTCTGTAGATTCATTAACACCATTTTCATAAAATTCTGTTTGACCTTAAGAATCCAGTATTATTTTGGCATGACTTTTGGGGGGCATTAAAATATGTTCTAATGTCTGTTTCCCACCATGATTTATAGAGTTGATAGGTACAATGAACATGAGTTAATTATTAGTTCAAAGCTGATCCTCGAGCCTTTATCAACCCAAACTAGAGATTTAGAGATTTCCAACCCTACTAATTTTCCTTCATATTTTCTCCCTCTGCTTGAAAGTATTTGCTCGGGGCCAGAGACATAGTACAGCGGTTCAGTGCTTGCCTTGCCCGTAGCCAGCCTGGTTCGTTCCCCGGGTCCCCAGATCCCAGGCAAGCCAGGAGTGACCCGTGGGCTCAGCGTCCAGAGTAAACCCTGAGCACAATGGGGTGTGTCCCCCAAACAGAAAGTATGTTCTAACTTAAAGTTTTAATACCTTTCTTTGGACTGAAATTCACAGAATTATAAATTATTTTGTAGTTGGAAGACGTAATTAAATACTCTAAATAAAACAGGTTTAATAGATTTGTTAAAGGTAAAGGTAAAGGCCCTCCCGTTGATCATTGATTTGCTCGAGCAGGCCCAGTAACGTCTCCATTGGAGGCTTTGTTGTTACTGTGTTTGGCATATCGAATACGTCACGGGGAGCTTGCCAGGCTCTGCCGTGCGGGCGAGACACTCTCGGTAGCTTGCCGGGCTCTCTGAGAGGGGCGGAGGAATCGAACTCGGGTCGGCCATGTTGGCTGCGTGCAAGGCAAACGCCCTACCGCTGTGCTATCACTCCAGCCCAGATTTGTTAACTTGGATAAATTACTTTTTTACATCTTATTAATTTTTAGCACAATAGCTCGGCTAGTAGCAAAATTGTTTATAAGCACTTTGTTTCGGACTTATTTGCTAGATGCCTATTTAGAATCTTTTAAAGTATACTATCATTTCTTTGAAAAATATTCAAAAATATTTTTGTGTGGGCTGGAGAGATAACACAGTGGGCAGGATTCTTGCTGTGCACACAGCTGACCTGGGTTTAATCCCCAGAATCCATGTGGTCCCCCAAGCACTGCCAGGAGTGATCCCTGAGCCTCACTGGGTGTGGCCCCAAAACAGAACAAAAAGGTTCGTTAGGGTAAAGCCAGAGTTGAGTTTCAGTGTGGTTTTTCCTTTCAGAAGATGTGCCTGTTTGCTGACTATCACAGTGTGTAACTCAGATGTACACTGCAGTGGTTGCTGGGGCCACTCCCTGTGCAGTGTCCGGGATGAGTCTGGCCATCACTGGGAGCCGCTGCTCTCGGCCCTAGCGCTCTCGCTGCACCTTGTTCTCTCTTTGGGACAGCAGACAGCTACTCCAGAGCTCTGTGCTCTAGGGGAACGTTTATTGCCTTTGGCGTCTCAGATGCCCACATTTGAACCTTGCTAGCTTTCAGGTTTTGCCAATTACTTGATGCTTTCAAATCTTATTTTTCTTTCCTTTTCTTTCTTTCTTTTTTTTTTTAAATCTTGAGTGTATGGATGTATTTTACTTATCTTGTAAGATCATTGTTAGGAATAGAGGAGATAATATGAAAAGTAGATAAGCAGAGTACTTGGGTTTTAATTGATAAAAAGTTTATTCAGTCCCATCTTTTGGGTCTTTGGAGCCACCCCTGATGATGCTCAGAGATTACTCTTGGCTCTGCACTCAGGAATTACTCCTGGCGGTGCTCGGGGGACCATATAGGATGAGGGGGGTGAGGGGATCAGATCTGGGTAGGCCACATGCAGGAATGTACCTTGCCCTCTGTACTATCCCTCCAGCCCTTTTTTGGGGGGGGGTCTTATTTTTTTTAATAAATTCCTTGCTTTCCTTAAAAGCATGTATGATAGCTATTACGTATTTTATAAGGAGCCAAAGTTAACATCTACCTTCTTAGTACTATATTTAATATTTTATTAGAATCCAACATATTTTGCCTACTTTTTGTTTTTTTTTAATAAGAAAACGTTTAGGTAATCATTTATAAGTGTGATATTAGCAAAAGAAGAATTCTTAGGATCTTTCAATCTTTTTGTCCAAGAGCTTGGAGTACTGTAGTAAGTCCATGCAATCATGGAAATTAGATTTATTCCCATAGGATCTGCTCATTAAGATGTTGCCTTGTTAAAATAGGGTATCATTAGCAAACACTATTAATGAATTGACCCACTTTTTGAAACAACAAGATAATAAAGGAGCTAATAGTGGGATCAGTTTTCTAGCTTGGAAAGCTTGATACTTGCTCCAGAGGGCTGTGAGAAATAAGGGATTTTTTTGAAAGCAGAGCTTTGGTTTTGCTGCCCTAAATTAAAGTCATATTCCTATACTCTAAATTTTTTAAATTGGGCTGTTGATGTACAGTCAGGAAATCTGAGATTCTTTTATTTTTTTTTAGAATTAGATAAACTGCAGTTCAGAGTTGCCAGAGAAGTTCTTTTAGGAGAAAACATCAGGATGGGATTCGAAGCAGACCTGTACCTAAATAGTGGCAGTTTTCTAAATTCACTGTAAATTCTGGTGTGTATGTACAGTGAATCATATTCATGATGATCCCAAGTTGTGAAGGTTAACTGAGTGCCTATTGGATTTTTCAAGTTCCAGAAACTTCAGACATGTTTGCTGAGGACCTTGGCTATAGGACATTTGTTGTACATATTGTTCCATAACCTTATGTTGGAGATTAGAAAGAGAGCCACTTTCCTCCAGAAGTGCTCTTCAGCTGTAGTTGTGAAAGCAGATCTGTGGATGCTGAGCAGCGTTGAGAGAGGGTCCTGTGGGGGTGGGGGGTGGCGACCTGGACAGGCCCTGGCGGGTACTCCAGGGCGGGAGCCGTGCCTGCTCGGGGCTTAGTCCCGCGGGGATGAGATCTTTCTTGGGACAGGTGAGACAGTGCAGCAGGGAGGACGCTTGCCTTGCTCGTGGCCAGTCCAGGTTCCACCGGACACCCCGTATGTCCCCCAAGAACCTCCAGGAGTGACCCTGAGCACAGGGTCAATCTCCGAAGTTCCGTGACTTTCCACTCTGAGTGTAGTAGCGTGTGTATCATTTTAGTGAAAACATTTGGGTTGGTCTAAGGTTTGGGAGTTTGGTGTGTGGAACTGCTGTTCAGACGACGGGCTGTGGAGTAGGTAGAGAGTATCATGGGGAGGGACCTGGAGTGGGGGCCTGCACCAGCAGCCGGCAGGCCTGGAAGTGGAGTTGTATAGATGCGGGGGCTAGTTGGGTCTAAGGAAGGAGATCTCGGGGATTAGTTGGGTCGAGGGAAGGAGATCTCGGAGAGAAAGTCAGCTTCACTGGGTGAGAGAGCTGGAAGCTTAGAAAGCTAAGGACCGTAAAGTGTTTAAATTATGCATCGTGGATACAGGTGTCCTTGCATTGACAAGGGAGTCCCATAAATAAGGAAGAGAAATCAGCACTGGCGAGTGTTGAGTTGAAGTCCGTTGGCTCAGGAGGGCTTTGAGAAGAAGAAAGGCATCGAGCGAGCCAGTGAGTTTGATCATCCAATTGACAGATGCTCGAGGTCGAGAGTCGTGTGCTTGGATGACTGGATTTCACAGGAATAAATCTCCTCATACAGGAACCAACTTGGAGTGCCGTGAAAGGGTTAGGGAGGAGGAGACAGGCCCTGGCCCCTTGAAGTGCTGCCTCACATCTGGCCTGAAGGGTATTGAAGAGTATTTTCCCGTCTCTTTCTTTTTCATTCTGGTTTTTGCTTGTAACCTGCAGCGCCCATGGGCCTGGGACTGTTCCGGGGCTTGCTCTGGGCCTGCAGGTGCAGTGCGGCCACCCTGCCTTGAGCTCTCTCCCCAGCCAGGAAAGTGGCCTGAGGGAGACTCAGTGACCACATGGCAGAGGGTTCAGTGTCGGTTCTTAGCTGTTTTCTCTATGGACTAGGGTTCTTAACAGGTGAATATATGTTCGCATATTTTTAATAAACGCATTTTCACAATTACAGATATAAAAGTTCTCAGAAGTCTACAGACTGGTCCGGAGTAAAGAAGCCAATTTTTTTAAGTAAACTAGGTAATCACTTTGCCGAGTGGTCAGCGTCTTGGGCAGGCTACCTCATAACAAAGGTAAGAGTGCTCTCCAGAATCTGTTACCTCAAAAACCAGAACATTTGACCACGTAACACATAGCAGGCACTGGTACATTTGTGATGATGCAGAATTGTTACTAGTAGACAGAAATGATTTCTCTGTTGTTACTAGTAGCAGCTTCTGGGAAAGAAGGGAATTATTTTATCAATTATGGCATTAATGTGTTTGTAAAGTATCTCTTATATTATGTTAGTTTACATAGTTTACATGAAACAACAGTCTTTAAGAGGATGTAAATGTCGGCCTTGACTCGAGGCCGGCAGTTTGCCAGAGCTGTGGGTTTCAAGCAGGAGCCTAGAGGAATGTCTTTCAGTGGTCTCGTAACCATTTCATAATTTTGGAAATGGAATGTTCAGTTCATGAGAAACATCTGGAAATAAATGAAAGGATCGCGATCACGACCATCCTGTTGTTCATCGATTGTCTCGAGCAGGCCCCAGTAACGTCTCCTTCATCCTAGCCCTGAGATGTTTTTAAAAAGTGCCATATTCAAGGCTCTGTCAGGGTTAGGAGAATGAGACCCATCATTGTTACTGGTATTTGGCATATTTGGGTACGCCACGGGGAGTTTGCCAGACTCTGCCGTGTGGGCAGGTTACATTCAGTAACCTGCCAGTTTGTCCAAAGTAGGAATGAGATAATAAAATGTCGCTTCCAGGAGCTGGGTTTTATGGTCTCTGGGACTTGGCCGTTGATGGGATTACACGGATGGGGGGGGGGGGGGGCAGTTGGTGGGTGTGACCCCTGCCTACTGGAAGATGGAGGATCTGGGTGGAAGATGCTCAGCCCCGATCCGAGCAGGCTTGGAGATCTCAGCCCCGGGACCTGCATGCCTTTGTTCCTCTGCCGGTACCTTCATGCATGTGGAGAGTGGTCTCAGCATGGTGGTTGCTGGTTCTGGAGGTCTTCGGCTGCCAGAGCCCTGGTCGGGGCGGGGAGGGAAACTCACCCTGCTCCCCTTGAAAGGAAGTGATTTTTTAAAAATTCTTTATATATAATGAAAAATATTTTTTTCCTCAGTGGCTACTTCAAAAAGGGGACCCATCTAAACTCTCTTCAAAATAAAAAAAGATTTTTAAAATAAAATTTTATTTTAAAAAAATGAAATATTATTATTTTCCTGATGTGAGATTTCAAATGCATGAAATGATAACTGTGTTCTAATAAAATGTTTAAATTGAAATTCACTTTAATTTTTAATTCACATTTGTTAATTATTGCATAGACCATTTGTAATAATTTATACCTGCTAATTTTTATTTATTTATTTATTTTTATTTTTGGGTCACACCCAGCGATGCTCAGGGGTTACTCCTGGCTCATGCACTCAGGAATTGCTCCTGGCAGTGCTCGGGGGACCATATGGGATGCTAGGAATCGAACCTGTGTCAGCCATATTGGCTCCGTGCAAGGCAAACGCCCTACCCGCTGTGCTATCGCTCCAGCCCCTATACCTGCTAATTTTAAGAAAGTTTTTTTATTTTATGAACACACAGTGTGAAATGTAGAGTACCGTTAGAGTAATGACTTCCAGTCTAGAACTTTCTAGTTATTTTAAGTGAAATACTTAATTCTGTAGAAGGAAAAATCCTGTAACATTTTATAAGAGAACAAGCATGTTAATAAACAGAATGGTAGAGTGAATTTAAAACTGACCTCAAGCAATTTAATTTTCAGTTTCTTGATTATCAGAATCTGATCGCTAACATGCAGTAGTGTAGTTGAGAAAGCTAATCTAACAGTGCGAGCATTTTGGATGAGTGTCCAGGGGATGGTCCAGGATGCGGGGTTCACGCTGTGGGCTCTGGGAGCCCCTCTGGGCACTGCCTTCGGGGCAACCGCGGTGCTGATCCAGAAGCCTCATGAGGGAAGACCCTGCGCTTGTCGGTTCCGCCGTGGATCAGGCAGTGGACTTCAGAAAACCCCTCACGCCCCTTCACCCGCCCGCCATGACAGGTCCGGCATGAACTTGCCAGTAAAATCTTCACATGCTGCAGCATCATGATGAAGCATGATTTCAAGGTGACCATCTACCTCCTCCCTCATATCCTCGTGTACGTCCTGCTGGGGTGTAATCAGGAGGATCAGCAAGAGGTGAGAGGTCATTTTCTGTCCTTTTGTGCGTCGTTACCTGATTCCCTGGAGATGGCAGGAAAAGTGCACCTGTGCGTGTGCCTGTTTAACTGCTTTTACAAAATTTGCTTTTAAAGATCTGTGGTTTGTTCAGAATTCTACCATGCTTCGTGTGGAACATTGGGAAGTAAATGCTACATCACAGACTTGGCGGAGCTGTGAGCCAGCCCAGCAGGCTGGAGCATTAGCTTCTGTGCAGAAGCCCCCTGCAGGTTTGACCTGGGGCCCTGCGATACCCCAGCACCACCAGGAGGAACAGGGGCAACAAGGTCGGGTTGCCCCAGCACCCACGATAGGGCCCCAAATCCAACAGCAAAAATTATGGCTTCTTGAGATGTTTCAAGTTGATGTAACTTTTTTGAAAATGTTACTTTGTTTCCTCTCTTTCAGTTTCTATAACTTCTCAAAGGTCAGTCAGGACCTGCTGCTGAGGCTCTGGGTGTGTCCTCCCATCTGAGACCCTGCATCTTCCTTACAAAGCCACGTTAGATCCCCGGGGCCCCCTCAGATTACTGTTAATTGGCATCATTATTGTGCTGATATAAAAGTCATGTTAAGTCAAAATGTACCTTTGGCTACTGTTTCTGCTCTGACATCCCAGGATCGTCACTGTCACTAATTTGTCATGACTATCTCCAGGCCCTTTTCTGTAAATGCAGTTGATTCTGTTTGTTTTCTCATGTTGCAGTTCTTGTATTATGTACAAGAAGAATTGCAGATAACTGTCTTTCATCAGTGATCCTGAAATTAATTTTTACAGATGTGAAGTACTGTGTCAATATTAAAACAATTGCAGTAGATTAATATTTAGATTATGAGGAACATTACAAGAAGGATAGTTTAGCGCCAGTTTACGGCAGAATTGTTTTTCCTTTTGGAAGAAATTATAGCCTTGAAATACGTGGTCTTCTGTGTCAGGTAACAGTGAATTCTTCCAGGTTTATGCAGAGATGATGGCGGTTCTCAAGCACGATGATGAGTGTGCCCCAGCCGCGCAGGACAGTGCCTCGGACCTGTGCCAGCTCAGCACCCAGACCGTCTTCTCCATGCTCGACCACCTCGCCCAGTGGGCCCGGCACAGGCTCCAGGCCCTCAACGCTGAGAAGTTCCCACACAGCAAATCCAGCAGAGACAAAGTGCACCCGTTGGGTGAGTTGGCACTTTTGTTTTCTCCTTTTAATAATCTCTTAACTCGGGGCTGGAGCGATAGCACAGCAGGGAGGGCATTTGCCTTGCATGCAGTCGACCCAGGTTCAATTCCCAGCTTCCCATAGGGTCACCTGAGCACCGCCAGGAGTGATGCCTGTGTAGAGGCAGAAGTAACCCCTCAGCATCGCCGGGTATGACCCAAAAAAGCAGCAATAATACTAATAATCCCTTTCCTGCATAATTTTATAATTTCAGTATTAACTTTAAATGACCTGTTTTCTTACGTACCTATAGATGTGTGTAGATACAGGTATATGTCTATATATATATATTTTAGATGGGTGAGAGTGTGGTTTGGCCACCCCCAGCTGTGCTTGGGCCTCCTGGCGCTGTGTGCTCTGGCCTCATTGCTGTGTGCCCGGGGACCGCATGTGTAGCCTGGATTGACCTGGCACTGACCACATGTGTACAGGTCAGGACCTCAGAGCTTGTTCAGCTCTCCGGCCCTGTCCCCCCCTAAACTTGGATGCTTCCTTGAAATGGCCTTTTCAGTACTCACTGCCCAGTTTGTCAGCATCTCCCTCTTGTTCATACGCCAGTTGCAAGTCACTGTCACCGTCCTCCCGTTGTTCATCGATTTGCTCGAGCGGGCCCAGTAATGTCTCCATTGTGACACTTGTTACTGTGTTTGGCATATCGAATACGTCACGGGGAGCTTGCCAGGCTTTGCCGTGCGGGCGAGATACTCTCGGTAGCTTGCCGGGCTCTCCGAGAGGGGCGGAGGAATCAAACTTGGGTCGGCCATGTTGGCTGCATGCAAGGCAAATGCCCTATCCGCTGTGCTATGGCTTCAGCCCAGTTACAACAAGTACTGGTTTTAAATATAATGGTTGCATTTCAAAAAATGATTTTACTTACAAGTATCTGGATTTCCCCCCCTCTGGAATCTGGATAATCGTTTATTTTCTTTCAACTTTTAAATGATTCTATTTCTTCATAGTACCACAAAAACCAAATATTTCTACTAATTTAATATTTAGATTTTTAAAAAACTTTAATTTTTCATATTTAAAATTTTTAAGTAAAATAAGTTATTTCACTTATATAATTTCTACTAGATGGACTTTCTATTTTAATTTTTTTTTTTTTTTTTGCTTTTTTGGTCACGCCTGGCAATGCACAGGGGTTACTCCTGGCTCTGCACTCAGGAATTACCTCTGGAGGTGCTCAGGGGACCATATGAGATGCTGGGAATTGAACCCAGGTCGGCCGCATGCAAGGCAAACGCCCTACCCGCTGTGCTATTGCTCCAGCCCCTCTATTTTAATTTTGAAGGCATTTTTCTTGGTGCAGCATGTTATAATGGGTTGTTAAGATTTATGTTTTAAATAAGAATTTGTAAATTGCTGTCCTCAGATGACTAAAGTGCATGCTTTGCATCTGGGGGCCTGGGTTTGATCGTGGGCACTGCATCTCATTGCCCTTAAGCCAGGTGTAGAAGATTTAAAAACCAAAATGAAAAAGAAGTATCTAATTTATATATTGTCTTAGCCTCTTTAAAACTATTACCCTGGTATCCTATGAGCTTACTTCCAAGACCCTTTATTTTCAATTGTTACTGTATAGTGAATATAAATGGCAGCAGAGGAAAAATAAATTATTTACAAAGAGTTGCAAATCTTGCGACCGGAGCTCTATTACAGCAGGCAGGGCATTTGCCTGGCGTGTGGCCAACCTAGATTTGATCCCTGGCACCCATGTGGTCCCCTGAGCTCCTGTGAGCGGCAATCCTAAAGTCAGGACTAAGCTCTGAATTACTATCCAGTGTAACCAAAAACCTTAAAACTAAGAATTTTATTTCCATTAGTGTGCTTTCTCCTAACAGCTATACTGTAACTTTTTTTTTTAAGTATCAGTAATACTGGGCTGGAGTGGTAGCACAGCGATAGAGCATTTGCCTTGCGCGCAGCCAGCCTGGCCGAGCCGGGTTCGATTCCTCTCGGAGAGCCCGTCAAGCTACCGAGAGTTTCTTGCCCGCGTGGCAAAGCCTGGCAAGCTACCTGTGACGTATTCAATATGCCAAACACAAT